AGTTTTATACCTGCTAAAAGGAAAAATATTCTTATTTTTTTTAAATTAAATGATAAGAAGAAAGATACTAATACTCAAATTATAATAAATTTTTAATCCAAAATTATTAAAATGATAATTCAATTGTGTCAAATTTACTCTAGGATGTTTTTATTTGTTCAAATTTTGAGTTTTGACCATTTAAAAAAATATTACTTCACGAAGATTGACTTTTCGAAAACTTTTGCTTTTTGATTCACCTTGTATTAAGTCTAAATTAACTGATTTTAGCATTTTAGAAATTCTTAACTTAGATTTCGCAAAATTTAGAAATCATACTAGAAAAATATCGAGGGGCCGGCCGTTGGCTCGCTTTTGGAATTATTAAAATTATGTTGGCATTGTTTGGAATTTTTCTGGAATTTCTGGATAATTTTTTTACATAATAATTTAATTTTTTTAATAATTTAATATTTTTACACATTTTTTTCAAGTTAACGGCCTCTATGAGACATATTTTTAATCAAAATTAACTCGTAACTAAAAAAACGTAAAAAACGAAAAATTAAAATATTTTAATATGTAAACGTAAGCATATAAAAAATAAGAAACGTAAGAGCGTAAAAATGTATTAAAGTAGACAAAGTATAGTTTTTATCTCGCATATAAGTCATTATATACCCAAATGATTAAAAAACTCGCCCTCTGCTCGCTTTATAAACTTTATCTTTGTGAATAATARAATAATAATATATCTTTTTATTTTATTTAAAAGTCCTCAAATTTGCATTTGACTAAAATTATTTTGAAATATGTGAGAAGTTTCATTACTCCAGGACCAGACTCAATTTTTTGAATATCAATAATTGGATTATACACCTAAAGACGTAGAAAAATTTAATTCCGATTAGAGAAAATATTTTAGAATTACAAAAATACTTTATAACTATAGAAATTAATCTAAAAACAATGGAAATACGATGGATTATTGAAATTACTAGAATTATCTGTAATTATTGAATTACCAGAAATATTTTCTCTTAAAAATCTGGTGTGAACATCACACGACTTTCCTTATCCAACTTATTTGGAAAACATTTTTACAACAATAATTTAGTGTTGGAAAATTAACGTTTTATTTTTATTTTATCACATTTTACTGTTTAATAAGGTATATTTCATGATTCTAAATAATTCTTATCCCTATAAATTTCTTCAACCGTATAATTTTGATTTTTGAGCCGAACGGTGCGACCGATTTTTACCAAATGTTTGGTGCTACGTCCCCTTGCTCAAGTAACTTGATAAGGAAAGCAAAAACACCAAAATAAAGTCACTAAATCGAAATTGGGGTACCTCGAAGGCCAGAATTGACTGGAGGAAGGACACGGCATCTGGTTGGTTGTGCTGTGCTACTGCTTCGACAATCGGGACCCCATTTTCGTCAACTATGTCCGTTATGTGGTCATAACCGTCTAGGAGCAGCTCAACCAACTTATCAGTGTCGCCTGTAACACTTTAGGGGTCAAAAAATCGAGTTTCAAAGCTTGAAACCAAACCTTTTGTAGCTATACTCATGACATATCGATCGATTTCGATTGTGTTTTCTGGAATGTTGGCTTGGATGCTTATATCTCGGGCAGTTCTGTATAATTCGTCCCTGTAAGCGACGTTAATCTCCGTTTCGGTGAGTAATTGGAAAAGGGCGTTTCTTCCATGGGCCCTTGCGGCGGCAAAGTGAAGCATACTTTGCCCATGCTCGTCCTAAATTTATCATCAAAGTTTTTTTTTTCGTAAATTTTTGTAAAATTTACCCGACTTGTGCTACTAAAAGCCGAATCTTCTTCGTTTCCGCTATCTTCGGGGTCAACAGTCACGATTTCGATGGATGCAGGAACGGCTTTGTTGTTATCTTCTTGCGGAGGGCCGGTTATAGTCTGTTGATTTTCCTGCTTAAATGACACGATAGAGAAAAATCACGAAATTGTGAAATTTTACTTGTGTTTTTCCTCGGGAGTGGACGTTTTGACGATTATTGGCGAAATTGTATAAATAGGTTGCAAGATACGCAATTGGGTCCTCAGGGCGTTTATTTGCAACCTCAGTCAAGCCTTTGATTAAAGGGTCTCCAAGGGCTGAAATTGTTAGAAGGAAGTTAGCGATTTTAAGGTTTAAAATTTTACGTTTCAAACTTTGTTCTTTACAAGATTTTCGTGTTTTTTTCAAGACTAAAACATTTTTTTACTTTTATTTTATTTTTTAAGAAACCTAAAGCTTATCTCTGAGAAGTAATTTTTTATTTATATTGTCTATTGTAAAAGATTTTTAATTTTTCTAAACTATTTCACCACAAAATAGAATTTTTCAAAATCTAACAAATTCCACACTTCTAACATTTCATATTTCTATCATTTTACCAAAAAATGAAAAAATAGAGTACCTAAGCCTGAAAGAGGTGGACCACATTTTAAAAACCCTGCTGTAAAAAAAACAAAAATTCAGGAGCAGGAATCGAACCTCAAATTTTTGATAATTATGCTCGAAATAGGTCAAATAATGAAAAAACATTTTTGAAAAATACTGAAAATTTATCTAGAAAGAAAAAAAGAGAATTTTAAAAAATCTTGTCCGAAAAATTGTAGTATTTGAAGAAAAAAATGTTAAAAAAAAGAAAAAAGACAAGAAAAAAAGAAAAAACAGTGTTTGGAGAGAGGAAAAATAGGGAGTAAAAGAAATAAAAAGGATACAAAATCTTGCAATTTTATTGTTTCCAAATAATATGTGACTTTTAAAACAATTTTGGAAATAAAGCTAAGGAAAAAATAACAATTTTTAAAGTTAATCAAATTTTATCTGTTAAATTTTTAATAAAAAAAAATTAAAAATATATCTAAAAATATAATAAAAATAAAGAAAACCGGTAAAAACAGAAGAGAATAAACGGAAGAAGAAAAAAATAAGAAGTGGAGAGGAGGAAAATAGAGAGTATAAAAAATATTGCAATAAGATAAATTTGATTTTTAAAGCAATTTTTGAACGAAACTAAGGGAAAAACAGTTTTTGAAGAAGAGAAAAGTAAACAGAGAGAAGTAAAAAGACAAATGAGAGAGAAAAATGTTCGAGACCAGGAATCAAACCCTAAACTTTTAACTTAGTTTGAAATATTTTTGATATTAAAGAAAAACATTTTACAAAAAATGATATTAGCAAACTGGGAATTTTATAATTATTTTCATTTTTTGATTAATTTTATTTATTTTACTTTCGTTTATTTAAAATAGAGAGAAAAAAATGTTTGAGACCCGAATTGAGAATCAGGTCCAAATAATTTTGGAAATTAAATAAAAATATCTAATCAGTAAAAATAAAACGAAAGAGATAAGAAAGAAAAGGAAAGCAAAAAAGAAAAAATGAGAATAGGGAAGAATTTTTGATAATTATGCCCGAAATAGTTTAAAAATCAAAGAAGACACATGTTTGAAAAAATACTAAAAATAAAACGAAACAGAGAGAAAGAAGAAAAGAAAAATGAGAAAAGACAAAGACGAAAAAAGAAAAAATAAGAACAGAAGTGACTGGGAAATGTAAAGGGGGTAAATAAAGAGAATATTTTTCTAACTTTTCAAAGTTTTTCAGTGAAAAATGTTCTTTCCCAATCTTGTTTTCAGCTAATTTCAGTAATTTTTTCAGTCAAATGTGCCAAAATTTGACTGCAAATCTTTGGCTTTAAGATGCTAAAAGTGTTTTTAAATCCCAGTTTTTGTCAAGAACAAAAAATTTAAAAACAAATATTTTTCAATTTTACAAATCCTCCAACTTACGATATTATTTTTAATATATTTCAGCTGTTTTAAGTGTTTTTTCAGATTTTTTAGAAGTTTACAGTTTTCAAAAAAAAACAATTTAGAAAATAGAACATTAATCCTTCAACCAGGGAAGACTCGTGACTGGAGAATATTTTTTTGTTATTTTCTCAAAATTTTGGCCAAGAAACTAATGTAAAAGATAGAATATTGGAAACATTTGTCCAAAAAAATTATAAAAAAATGGAAATGTAGGTAAAATTGCCCAAATTACCGCCTATCTATTTTTTTAAATTTTTTAGTCATTGTTTCACAATTTTGGTCAAAAACTAATTAGATAATTAGAAATGTTTGCAAAATTGACCAAATTACAAACCTATCTATGGCCCATCATCTACCAGGGGGGCACTTAATCGAAAAATGAATCTCTTTTTGAATTTTTTTAAATTTTGGTCAAAAAAACTAATTTAAAAAATAAAATATTGCAAATGTTTGTAGAATTGACTAAACTACAAACCCATCAACCAGGGGCGGCACGTGATGGGAAAATTATTTTTGTTCAGTTTTTTAGAAGCCTTTTTCACAATTTTCACAAAAAAACTAATTTAGAAAATACGAAATTGTAAAATTGGCCAGATTGTGAGGCGCCACTGCTATAATTTTTACTCAGTTTCCAGGGGCAACTCGTCATTAAAAAATGAGACTTTTTCAATTTTTGTTAATTTTTTCACGATTTTCACCAATTAGAAAATAGGAAATTCTTGGAAAATTAGCCAAACTACGAGGCGCTGCTGATATAATTACCGCCCATCTTCCAGGGTCGGCTCGTGATCCAAAAATGTGTTTTATTTCTATTTTTTGGTGATCCTTTTCAAAATTTGGTCGAAAAAAACTTCAGAAGCTGGTATTATTTACCAAATCGGAAAATAATCTTACATCTAGCTTTTTTTCAACATTTTGCCAAACAAAAATTAATTTAGCGGAAATAACCAATCAAAATTTTTGCTTTAGGACTTACAGGAGGCTAAATAGCGTCCTTCTTCGGTGGCAAAAAAAGGCATGTCGACTTGATTCGACGCCACAACACCTGGAACCAAACAAAACCATTTAGCCAAGAACCAAAAAAGGAGAAAAACGTGATAAAAATTGTGAAAAAAAGCACACAAACACTTGATTTTTGCACACTTCACAACACTAAGTGATGTGTTTCACATAACACGTTTCAAGATCAAAAAATGAGACAAAATCGTGTTTAATGAAAATTACTGACCTAGATTAAAAGTCCATCCGAAGCCAAAGAGCTGACTTATGTACAATAAATAAAAAAATGAGTGAAACTTTGGCACTATGTACACGGGTTATGTATTAAAAAACTAGCTTACTCCGAGGTTAAAGACAATTTTTTGCGTTTGAACATATTTACAAATGCTGCTGCTATGTGCAAGGAATTGGACACGGCCAAATCCTTCTCCAATTGGAGGATATTGAGAAACGCCGTTGTGAAATCCTCAAAACTCTGGTATTCACACACTCCCAAACTCTGTTGGTTCCCAATCCGGATGATATCGGAGGTGCTTGTCTTCCGGGTGAAGGTCAATCCCCTCACGAGACACAAATGTCGCAGATTTTCCGGTTCTTTGATCAGATTCGGGAACCTCAGAGTGAAATTAAACTGGAGAGTGTTGCCAACGCAAGTGGGCCTCGCCGACAAATACCCCAACTTCTCATCCCGTTTGAACTCCAGGTGCTTTTGCAAGATCGCGTCCAGACGCGCGATCCGGGAGTAGATGAGCCCCACGTTTCCGGGTTTTGCGTGCGGCGTGCAGGTGACAATCCGGATGTGGTCCAACACGTTGATCCAGACGGCGAGGTTGCTCCCGTTGGTGATGAAGACGCCGCGCCCGTAGGGCCAGTGTTTGCCGTGCAAGCGGTCCGACTCCGGGATGTTCCAGAGGGGGATGAGGAGGCCGTTGGAGGCGAGGATGACGCGGGCCTCGGAGGGGTCCTCCAACACCTCGTTCATGGTGTAGTAGACGCCGCAACCGGCGGAGAGGTCCTCCTCGGAGGCGTTGGGGTACAAGGCGCGCCCCAGGTCGGGGCTCAGGAGGACCGATGTGACCAAACGCTCCACGGTTTCGAGGTGGGACACGGTCAGGGATTTGGGGAGTTCGAAGTCGAGCAAGTTGCGGGTGCAATCGAGAGTGCCTGGAATTGGGCCCAGGGGCGGCTCGTGAAAATGGAGGTTTTTCAGAATTTTGGTCAAAAAAAATTAATTTAGAAAAGAGAATATTGAATATCAGAAGGAATATCAGTTTTTTGTAATTTTTTTCAAAAAAAATTTGAAATTGGAATTGATCAATTTATGAGCCACCACTGCTGTAATTACCGCTTATGTTCGTGAAACTAAAGTTTTTTCAAAATTTTGGTCAAAAAAAAAATTATTTAGATAACAGAATATTGGGGATGCTTGTAAAATTGGCCAAACGACGAGTCGCCACTGCTGTGATTATCTCCCATCTACCAGGGACTGCTCGTGATCCAAAAATGTGATGTTTTATTTCAATTTTTTATTTAAAAAAAAATGCTGTAATTACGGCTAATGTCCGAGGGACGGCTCGTGAAAATAAAGTTTTTTCAAGATTTTGGTCAAAAAAAAATTATTTAGAAAAGAGAATATTGGGGATGCTTGTAAAAATGGCAAAACGACGAGTCGCCGCTGCTAGAATTACCGCTCATCTACTAGGGGCGGCTCGTGTTCCAAAAATGCGTTTTTTTATTCAATTTTTTGTGATTTTTTTTCAGAAAAAAATTTGAAACTGGAATTGATCAATTTACGAGCCACCACTGCTGTAATTACCGCTTATGTCCCAGGGGCGGCTCGTGAAAATACAGTTTTTTCAAAATTTTGGTTAAGAAAATGTATTTAGAAAACAGAATATTGGGAATGCTTGTAAGATTGGCCAAACGACGAGTCGCCGCTGGTGTAATTATCTCCCATCTACCAGGGACGGCTAGAGATCCGAGAATGTCGTGTGTTTTTTTTTAAATTTTTGTCATTTTCTTCAAAAAAATTTAAATTTGGAATTGATCAACTTACGAGCCACTACTGTTGGCGACTCGTGATCAAAAAATGTGTTTTTTCGATTTTTTGGTAATTTTTTCAAAATCTTCTATCAAAAAAAATTTGAAAATAGAAAAATTACCGGCTCGTGATCGAAAAATGAGATTTTTTAATTTGTTGGGTTTTTTCTTTCAAAATTTTGTTCGACAAAAAAATTATAAAGAAAATTGAAAATGTAGGTAAAATCTACCAGGGGCGTCTCGTCATGAGCAAAAGCTATTTTTCCAATTTATTGTTTTTTTTTTAATTTCAAAAATAAAACATTAAAAAAGTTTGTAAAATTGACCAAACTACAAACTTTATCAGGGGCGGCACGTAATCGGATTTTTTTCCAATTTTTTTTGTCATTTTTTTCACAATTTGGTTAAAAAACTAATTTAGAAAATAGACCATTATAAATGTTTGTTGTTTGTTGTTTTAATTTTTTGGTGTTTTTTTATTGTTTTTTTTTAATGTTGGGTCGTTTTTTTAAAATTGTGCTTAAAAAGACTAATTTACAAAATAGAAATATATTCCGCCCATTTATCAATGGCGGCTCGTAATTGAAAAATAGGATTTCAGAATTTTTTGTTTTTTTTTTAATTTAGTCAATTTTTTTTTAACTTGGAAATTAGGTAAAACTTCCCAAATAACCAGAGGCGTCTCGTCCTCAGCATTTTTTTTTAAATTTTTTGGTTAATTTTTTTTGTTTTTTCCAAAAATACTAATTGTGAAAATACAACATTCAAAATATTTGCAAAATTGACCAAATTACAAACCCATCTATCGCCCATCATCCACAAGGGGCAGCACTTGATCGAAAAATGAATCTCTTTTTCACTTTTTTGGTTATTTTTTCAAAATTTTGGTCAAAACAAAAAAAATAAAAGATTGACGAAAATAATTTTTGTTAAATTTTTTGGTACTTTTTTCACAATTTTGACAAAAAAACTAATTTAGAAAATAAAACATTAGAAATGCTTGCAATGCAATCTACGAGGCGCCACTGCTCCAATTTTTATTCACCTTCCAGGGGCGACTCCTCATTAAAAATGAGACTTTTTTCAATGTTTTAGTAATTTTTTTCACAATTTTGACCAAAAAAACTAATTTGGAAAACAGAATATGGGAAATACTTGTAAAATTGGCCACAACTACAAACTTATCTATCACGTAAACGGAGTTTTTTATTTTTTTTTATTAATTTTTCTTACAATGTTGGTCCAAAAACTAACTTAGAAAATAGAACATTAGAAATGTTCAAAACTATGGATTATTTTTTCAATTTTTTGGTATTTTTCAAAATTTTTCTCAAAAAAAAACTAAATTAGAAAATAGAAAAATTACGACCTATTTACCAATTGCGGCTCGTAATCGAAAAATAAGATTTTTTAATTTTTTGTTTTTTTCTTTCAAAATTTTGCTTAATTTTTTTTTCTTTGAATTTGGAAATGTAGGTAAAATTGTTCAAATTACCGCCTATCAACCAGGGGCGTCTAGTCATCAGCAAATATTTATTTTAAAACTTTTGGTTATTTTTTTAAATTTTTTCCAAAAATACTAATTTTTAAAAGAGAACATTAAAAATGTTTGCAAAATTGACCAAATTACAAACCCATCTATCGCCCATAATTCACCAGGGGCGGCACTTGATCGAAAAATAAATCCATTTTCCGTTTTTTACCGTTTTTTCAAAATTTTGACCAAAAAAAATTAATTTAGAGTATAGAATATTGGAGATGTTTGTATATTTACGAAAATAATTTTTGTTAAAATTTTTGATAATCTTTTCAAAATTTTGACGAAAAAAATTAAAACATTGGAAATGCTTGTAATGCAGTCTACGAGGCGCCACTGCTGCAATTTTTACTCAGCTTCCAGGGGCGACTCGTCATTAGAAAAATTAGCCTTTTTTCAATTTTTTTGGAAATAATTTTTTTCACAATTTTGATCAAAAAACTAATTTGGAAAATAGAGCATTGGAAAAGCTTGTAAAAGTGCTCAAACTACGAGGCGCCGCTGCTGTAATTACCGCCCATCTACCAGGGGCGACTCGTGATCCAAAAATGTGGTGTATTTTCAATTTTTTGGCGATTTTTGCAAAATTTTGTCCAAAATCTTCTGAAGATGAAATCGATTAAACTAAGAGCCAGGAGCGGCACGTGATGGGAAAATGATTTTTTTTTGGTCATTTTCTCAAAATTTTGTCAAAGAAAAATTAATTTAGATAATAAAATTGCCCAATTGCCTCCGTGCTGTAATTCCCCCATCTACCTGAAATAATCCACCTGGTCTGCGGGTCCAAATCGAACTCAACATCGACCAAATTCCCGTTTTCCTCTTGCACAAATTTCGTCATTGGATGAACCCCCAATTCATGTCTGACATCAATCGCGTTATACTCCTTAATAATCGGCTCCAAATACTCCTTGAACACTCTATACACATAAAAATCCGGTGCCACAATCCCCGCCGGAAAATCCTGCTCCAAAGCCACTCGAAAGCTCAACTCTGAGGGAAGCTTTTTGACACTGGGCCAAATCACATCGTACAAATTATGATCAAGCTTGGTGAGTCGATATTTAACCGAATCGAAAACGTATCGTTTGGTGTGTTTGGCGATAATCGAGGAGGTGTAGCTCACATTGGTCGCTGATGATGCATTCGACGCGGCCGAAACGGTGTTCGAGTTCCTCCGACCGTGCAAAACGTTGTAACAACGCTCCAAAACATTTAACATTTCTTCATCGTCTAGATCTTTACGAGCGGAAACCGTGTCGTCGACAACTGTGATAATGCATAAAGTGTGCGAAAATCGGTGAAAGCAGAAGAATTCTCGAAAACAACTCGGGAGTTTTTTTTTTACTGATTTCTAAGGCTCGGATTATATGCAAAATGCATATTTGTCATTAAGAGGTATATCAACAAAATTCTAAGTTTTCTATGCATATCTAATGTTTTTTGATTAAAATAAGCCAATTAAAAAATGCATATTTTGGCAACTTGGTGCATATTTTAGGAAATATTGCATATTTGTGCATATTTTTTTCAAATCACTAATTTCCGATTAAAGATTTTAGTTCAAGTTAAAAATTGGACAGTTTAAGAAAAATAATACGATTACAAAATATTTTAAAGAGAAAACAACCGGTAATTCGTAAGCCAAACTCAAAAAATTAGTTCCCTGCTGAGTTTTCTTTTTAAATTCGTTTTATACTGGGTGAATATAAAGTATTAAACTAAGTGTTTTTTTTTAAATCATTTGTTTCCAAAAAATAATAATTAATATAAATTAAAGTAATATAAAAAAATGATTTTTTAAGAACAAAATTTTGTTTTGTTTTTGAATTATTCGATTTTTGTTGTCTAAATTGCGATATACATATGTAAAAAAATAATTTTATATAAAGTAGATAGTTGTAATCCTTCAGAACTTGACCTTCATGAGAAAAATGTTTTTTTTGTTGGGTTGCCATTTAAAAAAATTATTATTTTTGTAGAACTCAAAAATAAAAAAATTAAAATTTTCTTTTTTAGTACGAATGTGTGTTTAGTTAGTCAGTTGCTACATAAATAACTACTTTAAACCAAACGTTTAGTAATTTTATTTTTTTTTGGCACAAAATTTGATTTTTTTATTTTTAAATGTGATAATTTTTTAAGCATTTTGCACGTTTTTTAGCCAGACACTCAAATATTTTGTCACACTTTCTACAAAATACGTAAAAATCACCAAATTAGTTATGAAATCAGATTTTTATTTTTGTTTTTTTTAAAGAGATTTCATGCGTCATAAAAATTACTAAATCTGGTTGTAAAGTACTTTATTTTGGTCTTTTTCGGAGATTTTTACTACGTTTTTTAGAACTACTTTGCAAAATTTGGTAAAAACAAATTTGGTCAAAAATTGTATTATTTTTGCTTTCTTAGAATGTTTAAGCACGTTTTTGAAATAAATATTTATAAACATTTTTCCAAAAATTTGGTGCTAAATATTTACCAAATAAGATTGTTTTGCTCGATCTTGTCAAAACAGGCCTAAAAATTTCGTTTGTTTTATTCCATTTAGCCATTTAGCTCATTTTTGGGTGAAATTTTGTCAAAAAAAAACAAGCAGAAAAATACAAAATTTGGCCGAAAATGTCTTTTTCCTTTTTTCAAACAACAAAAACAAAATCAAGTGATTATTTGTGCCTTTTTCGAGTATTTTAACACATTTTTTCAAGAGAAAAATAAGTCAAAAAATTACAATATTAGACAAAAATTGTGTTATTTTTGCCTTTTTCGAAGTATTTTAGTACGTTTTTCAGCGAGAAATAAAACTATTTTGTGAAATTTCATTGAAAATAAACCGAAAATTTACCAAATTAGGGCAAAAATTGTGTTATTTTTGCATTTTTAAAATTTTATTTTTGATAAAACATCACATTTCTATAGAACTTTATAATTCATTAATTAGTTTTTTGAAAAAATAAATACTTTAAGCAAAAAACGTGATGTGATCTGAAAAGTACAGATTTTTTAGAAAGGGTTAATTACTAGGTTATTAAAATGGCTTGTCTCACGCCAAACCAATTTATTTATTCTTTCATTTATTGTGTGCAGTTCAAGATGACGAAAATACAAAGTTTAGTGTATTCGAGGATAAAAATTTATCCCAACTTTGATTTTTTATTGTTAAAAATTTTGCACATCGATGCATATTTGGCATATATTGGCGCATATTTCTTAATATTTTGTGCAAATTTTTGTGAAAATGCGCATATTTTACGAATTTTTCGTGCAAATAATCCGAGCCTTACTGATTTCACTTTCTTTTTTAAGCGACTATGAACTAGAAATTGAATTATTTGCGAGGATTGGTCTGCGAATTGTGACAAAACCGGTGAAAATTCTAACACTTACCTTTATCACTTAACATTTCCTCAGAAGCGCTTTCTTCAGCCCCAAAATCGCGTAAAAGACTCCGGTGCGAGAACTCCTCTTGATTCCTCCGGTAATACTCCGGACTGTGCCCAAACTACAACTCGACATTAGTAAAAATCCGGGTCAAAACACCCAAACCTTGTCCTCGCTCCGGGAATCAGCCCCTAAATGAACCAATAAATTGTAATAATGCCCATTATCGGGCAAAACTGCAGCGTAATGCAACGGAGTCCGGGCGTTATCATCCCTCACTTGAGCCGTTTCCGGGAACCTCCCCGCCAAATACCGGACTATACTCGTATTGGCAAACACCACAGCGACATGAAGGGGCGAAGCCCCATTTGGGGACACTTTATCCTTCGCTATTGCGAACTTACGACGATCTAAAGCCGCCTGAAGGTCCCTCAAACTACCATCTCTTGCGGCCACATGAATCCGGTTGATTTTTGACTAAACAAAAAAAAATTTTTTTGGGGAAATAAACCGGAAAATAGTACCATGTAAACTTGGACGTTGTCAAGAAACGACTGAAGTTCCGGGTTGTCACTCGATTGCCCAACCAACCTTTCACCTTCACCGTTCAGAACCAAGGCTGCGAGTTGTTCCATGTTCCCGGATTCCACCATTTTGGTGATTTCCGGGTCCCCGGAGTTCGAATCTGGGCCTTGTTCGTTCAAAGTCTCGATTTCGTTCTCCCCGTTGACGACACCTTCGATCACTTCTTCCGGTTCGACCGGAGGAACTTCCGGGGATTTTTCAGGCTCGTTGTTGTTGGGTTCTTCCGGTTGCTCTTCATCTTTATTGTCATTTGGTTCTGTTTCTTCCCTTTTGTTTTCTTCGTCTTCTTTATTGTCGTTTAATTCTTCATCCTCATTTTTGTTTTCTTCTTCTTCTCCTTTATCGTCGTTTAGTTCTTCATCCTCATTTTTGTTTTCTTCTTCTTCTCCTTTATTGTCGTTTAGTTCTTCATCCTCATTTTTGTCTTCTTCTTCTTCCTCTTTATTGTCATTTAGTTCTTCGTCTTCATTTTTGTATTCTTGTTCTTCTTTATTGTCATTTACTTCACCATTCTCTTTATTGTCATTCATTTCTTCATCTTCTTTAGTGTCGTGTTCTTCTTCTTCGTTATGGTCATTTGCATCGTTTCCATTTTCTTTGTGGTCATTTTCAGTCTCCACTCCCTCCTGTTTTTTTTCAGTCGATGGTTCCTCTTTTTCAGTTCCGTTTTGGATTTTTTTTACCACCTTGTGTATTTCTTCAGTCGGCGTCGCTGCCAATAGCAGACCCCAGTCAAAAGTCCCTAAAAACGACTCTTTCGCCGTCCGTGGAGCCTCCGGAATGACACTTAACAGTTTTGAGTCCAATTCAGAAGCCCGAGTTTTGTAATAAGCCGCAGTTTTTTGCCTCTAAAACAAAAATTACCAAAAAATTTTTTAGGTTTTCATTGATTACATTATCTAAGGCCGATTCGTCGGCCTCATGTTGTAGAAGAAAACCCATCATTTGCCCATTGTCTTTCACCAAAGCTGCGTAATGTAGAGGAGTACGACCTTCGGAATCTACCAGATTGACACAACTGGGATATTGGGTTACGAGAAATTGGGCTATTTCTTGTCTCCCTAAACCTGAAGCCTAAATTTTCAATAAAAAAAACCACGAGAATTTGACCAAACCTTGTGGAGGGGTGTTAACCCATTCGAGTCTTTCCCCGAAAGCACCAGGGATGGTATTGGGGGTTCAAGTCTTTTGGTCAAATTTTCCAACTCATCGTTGATCACATCCGAATGAATGTCTTTGATTATACCCTGAAAAAAATCAATGGGACGTATCGACCAGTCTTGAATTTTTGATGGGGTTTTGGGGGAAAACTTACCATGATGTGTGGTACCGCTTCTAGAAACTTCTTGATTTTGGGGTTGTTGCTGTGTTCGGGTAGCAGTTTCGCCCCATGGCCCTCCCATACCACCTGCTGCAAGTTGACCAAATTCCTCTGGTGGATCCAGATTCGGATGTTGGATTTTTTGAAGTTGAGACCTGAGAAATCTTTCATTTTTGGAAAATTCAACAACTCGTCAACATCGGCGAGGAGTGAGTGTCTGGGACAAGGGTGGGACTAGTCGTAGACCCGCTGGGTCATGTGATGGGTCATGTGACTATTAGTTTAATAATTTAGTTATTTTATTGATTGAGGGTGTTTATTGTTCCACTTTTTGTGGAGCTTCACCGATCGAAATCGTGGATTTTATTGCGTTGGTGCGCTTTAATCTATTTGAAAAATAATAAATGGTAAAATTTTGCACGAACCGGAAGTGTAGATTGGCGATTATTAAACTGAAACTTCCGGAATTTATCGATCGACAAATTGATATTTAAATAAAGAAAAACTAGACTATGTTTAACAATTATTAAAGTTTTAACTCCCTCAGGGAACAAACACGTTTTGTGTTCATTAATTATAACAAAGTCGGGGTAATAAATTTCATGAAATTGAAAATGTCAGGAATTATTTGTTTTTCCATTATTCATTTTGATGGAATTAAACAACAATTCATTTTATTACGTGCTAAACAATGCTATCTGGGCAATGATCTTACAATATAAAAAACTAGATGCGCCATTTGTAATCTTTTGAGTGTTGAGAGGAAGAAAGGAAATTGAAGAATTGCCGTGCGTGACAAAGATAAAGATATTATGGTCACGTAAAGTGTAAATATTTTAAAACAAATAGCAAAATAAACCATTTACGAGTTATGAGTATAAACTTAAAGTTTCTTAAACGTAATATTGAGAATTTTGAGAAAAAATTGATACATTTTGTAAAACTCTGTTTTGTGGTAAAAATTTTCAGACAAATTCTAGATCTTTTAAAATAAACAAAAAATTTAAAAAATCACATGTTAAAGATAAGCTTAAAATTTCTTAAAAAATAAAATAAAAGTCAAAAAATGTTTCAGTCGTGAAAAAACACAAATATCTTGATACGTTTTAAGATCTTGTAAAAAACAAAGTTTGAAACATAAAATTTTAAGTCCAAAATCGCTAAAATAAAGATCTCAAAAAATAAAAATTTTGAAACACAAACAGAATAAATCTGGAACTCTGTTTTGTGGTAAAAATTTTCAGAAAAATTTAAAATCTTTTAAAATAAACAAAAAAATTTATAAAAAAAAGTTTCTTAAAAATAAAATAAAAAAATGTTTTAGTTTTAAAACGTTTAAAGATTTTGTAAAAAACAAAGTTTGAAACATAAAACTTTAAGTCCAAAATCGCTAAAATAAAGATTTAAAAAAATAGAGATTTTGAAGCATCAACAGATTAAATCTGGAACCATATTGAGAATTTTGAAACATCCTGAAAAGACCTAATTTTTGGTTTAAAAAAAATGGAAGTCTTGAAAAAAAGGTTCAAGACATTGAAATGAAAACCGAATTTTAGAGTTCAATACTTTGAGAAACAGTAGGTACCTATTAAAATCTTGTTATTTTAAAAGAAAATAAAAATCTTTATTAAAAAAGTTAGGATGTTAAGGCATAAACTGAGGAATTTGAAAAGATTTCGGAAACAGTGTGATAAAATCTTGAAAAAATTGATTTAAAAAAATATTTTATGTTCTTTAGAATAATAAAGGTCTTAAGAAAATATTAAAAATTTTGAGACAAATATAATTATTTCATCAAAACTTATGCCATATAGAATCTTTAGAAAGGCGACTAAAAAATCATATGTTTAAGATATGTTTAACAAAATATAAATTTTACGTGTTAAAGGTAAGCTTACAGTTTCTTGAAGAATAAAGTTTTAAACCTAAATATTGAAAAAAAAATATGAAAAAAAAATTAAATAAAAATATACTTAAACACAGAAGAAACTTGGAAAGATATTGAGAATTTTGAAACAAAAATTGTTAGATATTAGAAAATATTATTTTTTGGTAAAACTTTTCAGAAAAATTAAAGATTTTTTAAAATTAACAAAATAATTAAAAAATTACATGTTAAAGATAAGCTTAAAGTTTCTTAAAAGAAAACATAAAAGTCAAAAAATGTTTTATTCTTGAAAAAACACAAATATCTTGAAACGTTTTAAGCTTTTGGAGAGAATAGAGTTTGAAATGCAAAATTTTAATAACATTTTAAATCTTAAAATCGCTAGAATTAAGAATAAAAAAATTACTTTGAAACCAACAAAGAAAAAATTTGGGAAGATATTGAAAAATTGTTACATTTTAAAAAGACCTAATTTGTGGTTTAAAAAAATCTTGAAAAAGAGGTTCAAGATATTGAGATAAAAACCGAAGTAGAGTCCAACACAATTGAGACACGGTGTAATTTGAAAAGAATATCTTGATAGAAAAAAGTTACTATTTTAAAGCACAAATTGAGGAATTTGAAGATTTTGGGTAACACTGTTAAAAATATTGAGAAAATTGATTTTAAACAACCTATTTCATGTTCTTTAGAATAATAAAGGTCTTAAGAAAAGATTAGAGATCTTGAGACAAACATAATTTTTCTTCAAAACTTACAGAATGTAGAATCATTAAAAGGGCAAAAAAATCAAGATCTTGAAAAACTTAAAAAACATTGAAACATTTAGAATCTTAGAATTTTGAAAACATAAAAATATGGTGAAATACTCAAGAATTGAGATTTCAAATAAAAATTTCAACAGCTTAGAGAGAAGCCCAAAAAACTAAAAAATATTTATAATTGAGTCGAAATTAAAAATGTGATGATTTTCAAAAAACAAAATATTTTAAAATTTTGAAGAAGCTCGAATACCTTGAAATTTTATCAAGTTCTTGAAAAGAAAGCGTAAATTAGAAAATCTTAAAAGAATATTATAATTGCCAAAGTCAAGATTTTGAAAAACTAAAAATTTTAATGCATCAATTGATATTAAAAAAAAATTGAAAAAATATTGAGTGACGGTGATAAAATTTTGTAATAGTACATGTAAGAAAAAAAAATGCAAAATGAGATAAACAATAAATTTTTCAAATTTAGAAAAATGTAGTTCAAAATCTTAAAAATGAGCTTAGAAATTTTGAAACAATAATTTTTCATTTAGAGAAATTTGAGATATTGGAACGTCATCACAAAGCTCAAAATTGGGAAAAAAACTACAATTTTTAATGGCGTGTTTAAAATCTTGACTTAACAATAATTTATAAAAATAGGTTTACTTTCTATTTTTGCGTTTTTTATTTAATTTACTGCATGTAACGTCGTCACTGAATTTATCTTGTTGGATACAATCACATAATTGATTTTTTACGTTGCAAACACTGCATTAGAAAATAACTTCCTTCGTAGTAAATCGCGTTTCAAGTGTCGAATTATGTAATGACCGTTAATTACCCCATTTTTCAGTCAAACTTTACAACCGTTTCCCTGAAAATGACCTACATAATAAAGAACCACGTCGTTGTTCTCACGCTTCCTATAGTTCACCGGATTCGATAATCGATCTCGATTGAAAGTAAAATTAACAACAGTCTTATGAATAATTAATGAAACTCATCCAAAATTCACTCACAATTTTAGAGGCTTAAATTTTGAAAAAAATGTTTCAGAATGATGTTTTTCTATTTAAAAGTTCTTTTTTTTCAATTTTTTATTATCTGAGTTACAGATAAAGTCACAAAATCTTAA